TAGATGATGCAACTGGAGCATTTGATAATGGCCTTGACATGACAGGGTGTGCGAGAGAATGTGAACGCACTAGATGTTGAGAAGCTTGATCAAGTAAGAAAAGGATGAGTTGCTAGAATGTGATGAGGAAGAGGAGGATTTTGCGGTTGGCAACATAGAGGAATAAGGGAAAATATTTTCATCAAACACAACATGGCGAGTAATATAAATCTGAGAAGAAACGACATGGTAACAAAGGTAACCTTTGTGATGAGAACTATACCCTATAAAGACACAAGGTAGAGATCGAAAATCAACTTTATGATGATTGTAGGGTCGAAGATAAGGATAACAAAGGCAACCAAATGCTTTGAGAAAACCATAGTTAGGAGAACTCTTATAAAGTACCCCCTCCATTTCAAATTAAATGAGGTAGTTTGACTCGGCACAAAGTTTAAGGAAAAAAAGAAAGACTTTTGAAATTTGTGGTCTTAAAAGTTTAAGGGGTAAAGCTTTGTGGGGCCATGACTTTTGTGTGGTTATAAAAGCTTCTCATTAAGGGTAAAATGAGTAAAATGAGGAGTTTAAAGTAATATTATTTCCAAATTTAGAAATGTGTCATCTATTTTGGAAAAGACTAAAAAGGAAAGTACCTCATTTAATATGAATCGGATGGAGTAATTGATATGGTGACTTAAAGGATAAAGAGGAAGATATGGTTATATTGGATAAGTATGTGGCAGTGTTAAACGCATGCTCCCAAAATTGATAAGGAAGAGAAGCGTGAGAAAGAAGAGTGAGTCCTTTTTCAATTATAATTCGATTTCGGCGTTCCGATGTACCATTTTGTTGGGTGTATAAGGGCAAGAGATACGATGATGAATACCTTGATTTTTTAAAAAGGATGATACATTTCGGTACTCACCTCCCCAATCAGTTTGGACTGATTTTATTTTAGTTTCAAACTGAGTCTCAACAAAAATTTTGAATTGAGCGAAAAGTTGAAAAACTTGCGATTTATGAGACATAAAATATATCCAAGTAAATATGGTGCAATCATCAATGAATAAAACAAAGTAGCGAGATCCAGTAATAGAAGGAACAGGGGAAGATCCCCAAACATCGGAATAAATTAATTGAAAGGGACTACTGCTAGAAACATGGGAATGGGAAAAGGGTAAGCGTCGACTTTTTCCTAGTTGACAAGGTTCGCAAACATTAGAAAAATCAAAATTAGAAACAGGTAGCCTAAAGTTAGACGCGAGACGTCGAAGAAGAGCTTCATTTGGATGAGCCAGTTGACGCTGCCAACCAACAAGAGATGTGTGTTCACCAAGAAAGACAGAAGGTGGGGAAGATCGAGAATGAGGTGATGAAAGCTGAAGACGGTAAAGGCCATCATCAAGTGTTCCTCGAAGCAGTTTCCATCCCTGCAAATCCTTCACATAACAATCATAAGGATGAAAGTCCATATGGACATTATTATCACGAGTTATTTCAGAAACACTAAGTAAATTCTTGGAAATTTGTGGGACATGAAGAATATTGTTAAGATAAATGGGTCGAGTGGGTGTAGACAAAATTGATGAGCCAATGTGCGAAATAGGAAGTTTCATACCATTGCCCACCGCCAAACCATCATTGCCGGTGTAGTCAGCCTGTAAGGAGAGGTTAGCCATGTCGGAGGTCACATGATGTGTAGCACCAGAATCGAAGTACCAAGCAGGATCAACAATAGTTGAAGGAGAAGCAAGATGTGCTTGTTTAGGAGTTGACCGAGACGGTGGCTGCCTTGTTGGTGGAAAATCTTTTTCATTGGAATGATTGTAGCAGTTACGAGCATCATGATTATTTTTGCCATATATTTGACATTGCACACGACGCTTGGACTGACGATTGTTGGACCGAGAGAATGAGGTATGTGAATGTTGTTGAGGTACTGTAGATTGAGCATGATTTTGAGGATTATGGGCAAGGTGATTAAACAATGGGGGCGGGCCAAGAATAGAAGACTGATTGGTGTTAAGGGGTGAGGCTGGATAAGATGAATTGTATGTCAAGAGGGCATGAGAAGGAGCAGAGCCAAAGTGAGTGTTAACAGTGGTAGAGCGAAGTTCTTCGGCTAAATGTTCCTTTTCTTGAAAGAGGAGTCCAAACAGTTCTTCCGGAGTGATAGGACCGGAACGCATATTGAATGCAGCCTTGAAAATGCTAAATGAAGAATCAAGGCCATTAAGAACAAATGAGATGAAGTCATCATCTTGTACAAAGTACAAGCTTTCGGCTAGAGAGTCAGCAATTGCACGCTTCTTCTCAAAGTACTCTGTGATGGAAAGATTGCCTTTAGGAAGGTTTTGAATTTGGGATTTTAGTTGCATAAGTCGGGTGCGTGTCTATGACTGAAACATGCGCTCGATTTTGGTCCAAGCATCATATGAAGAGGTGGCTCGAGTTAGGTGACCAAGAAGAGGATCAGAAATGATTTGACGAAGCCAAACGAGAATAAGAAGATCGCTACATCGCCATTCCTCATAGGCAGGGTTAGAAGTAACTACTGATTGTGCTTGGGGGGGGGGGGGGGGAGAGGAATCTGTATTAGAGGATGGATTTGTAGCGGTAGTAACTGAAGTAGAGGTGACAGTAATGGTTTCTGGAGGAGGATTATAATCGAGAACAAAGGAATCAAGCGAAAAGGCTTTGAGTATGTCCAAGGTATTTTCTTTCCAAAGACAATAGTTGTTTTAGTCAAGTTTGAGAGAAAGATTTGGTAGTTGAATAGTGGTGGAAGAACTGGACTGTTTTGCAAGGGACAACAGGTTGCTGGAATTTTGAGAAGAGGCCATAGGATCGATGGGTAAATCTGAGCCAGGCCCATCCTAATTATTGTAGATAGGGGTGTCAATGGATATTCGAAAACCGACTAAACCGACCGAACCGTACCGCACCGAACCGATTTTTAGGTTTCTTTTTTAAAAAACCGTAGGTTTTTATATAAATCTATAACCGCACCGATAATTAGGGTAGGTTTTTTATTTTATAAAAATAAACCGAAAAAAATAACGAACCGTGCCGAATAAATTTTACATGTGAAAAATATATTTATTCAGTATGGTTAAAAATAATAATGCATTATATTTTCTTTGGGCCTTGGAATTATGAAAACTATTACAAGTCAACAATTAATTAAACTCAAAATACTAACTCCTGAAACCTATTATGCTACTTCTATATAAATTAAGTTATTTCAAGTATCTTTATTAGCAAGACACAAAGTATTCTAGCGATTATGAGTAGCAAACTACAATGTATTGAATATGTTTCCTTTCATATAATTTAGATTTATCTTTTTGAATATTTAATCTTCTATAGACTTTATTCTTGAGTCCCAGCTTGTTATATCTTTCAACTCGTGTGATTTATATTTTCTTTGCCTTTGTTTGATTTCTTTTACATTGTTGTAGAATAGTTGATGGATTTATACTTTAGCCATCTTTTTTTTTTTAATTCATCACCCTTTAAACAGTAAAAATGTCTAGAGAGTTTTGCTAAGTCCTCTAAAAAAACGTATGTTATTGCGTTCATTTTACTTCTACTGGTGAATTTTACATGATATTAAAAAATACCGAAAATTAACCGAACCGTACCGATACCGAAGAAAAACCAACATGATTGGGACAGTTTCGAAAAGTCTAATTTTGGTTATACATATTAGAATAACCGAAAAATTGGTATGGTACAAATTTTATAAAATAACCGACTGAACCGAACCGTTGACACCCCTAATTGTAGAGGATCAGAAATGATATCATGGTATCAGAGCCAGGCCCATCCCAATTATTGTTACAGATGTTGGGCCCCCATTTATGTTGTCCACGCTCTAGAGACCTGGGCGTGGGGGGGGGGGGGGGGGTGTTGAGTTGTCCCACATCGGAGGTCCTTGGTCTCCTTATATGGCTTGGACAATCCTCACCTCATAAGCTAGCTTTTGGGGTTGAGTTAGGCCCAAGGTCCATTCTTATCACTAAGGCAATACTATTACTGAAATCATGATGGCAAACATGTTGGAATCTCCAAATTAAAAGATTGCCTCATATAGTTTGATGAGATGAAAGAAATACAAAGATAGTTTACACATGATCTATTACTATCTTGGTCCCATTTTATATGACACGCTTTTCTTTTTACTTTGTTAAAAAAATAGCATTATTCTATAATTAAAAATAATTTAACTTTAAAAAATTTCCATTTTCACTTAATGACATGATTTTATGGCCACAAAAATGTTTATGACATATTTTTTACCGCAAGTTTCAATTTTCTAGTCTGCATATATACCACGTACTTGTTAGAATACGTGCTTACGATCTAAAGTTAGAAAAACAAGTAATTTCTTCACCACTAAACAATGATAGAAACTCTATTTTACCACCACCGAGGCATGTGATAGAATGAATAAGATCCTCTCATTAACTAGAGATCTCTCGAGTTTGCGTTCTGTGAAGTGAAATTTTAGTAGGATCGAAATTAGCGCAAATTTACACTAGTCAGAGCAACGGATTCCAAAAATCAAATGGTTAAAAAAAAATAACCTAAGTAGCAGCTCACCCAATCGCTTATTAAAAGTAGCCGGTGGAAGTATAATATATGCATAAGTTATGTGTTACATGTGTATAATTGTGTATAAATAATGTATAATCTATGCATATGGCTAAAAAAATAAACAGTAAATATGGTCGGTTATTTGTGTAATTCTTTTTATATGATTCTAGAATTACTCTGTTCACTTCTTGACTACATACAAAGTTAATTAATTGTGTTCACACTAGCTACTACTCTTAGTCGCTAAGGGTCAAATTAAAGTGCTAATTTTGCTAATATTCTTGATAATGAGTGCTGGTATGATGGTAAACAAATAAAAATTAGTGAATTATCATTAAAAGCCACACTTAATGCTAATAGTACAATTAAAGGAAGAAAAAAATGAGGTGGTGATGGAAGAAAAAGAGGAGCTAAAGCACTTGCCTGGGACCCATGCCATGTCTTCTCAGCTACCACATAATTATTTGTTTTCCATCTTTCTCCACTGCAATAGTAATTTTACTTTCTCTTAGGCTCTTAGCTAAAGCTTCATTAAAAGTCCCAAATCAAATCTCTCCCTCTGAAATTATGCACCCAATTTATATCGATTTTCTTTTATAACAAAGGAAAATAGAAAAAGAATTTTCATCATAGTGGTACAAATTACTCCTAACCTTACACTAAGGAATGCAGTTCTCTTGCACGACAAAAATCAAGATCGCCATACGAAAAACCCCTTCCCGAAAAGATAGCACAACTTTCAATTGCTATGATGTCAAGTGAGCAAAGATTAAGGGAAGTAGGAGAAGGAACATCCTCAACTATTGTAACATTAGCGCCATCTGCTAACCATCATCAGCTACCATCGCCACCTCAACTGAGCAGATATGAGTCTCAAAAACGTCGTGATTGGAACACTTTCGGACAATACTTGAAGAACCATAAACCCCCAGTTCCTTTATCCAATTGCAACTACAACCATGTGTTAGATTTTCTCAGGTACTTGGATCAATTCGGAAAAACTAAGGTACATTTACATGGTTGTGTTTTTTTTGGAGAATCCGAGCAAGCAGGGCCATGTACTTGTCCTCTTAGACAAGCATGGGGAAGTTTAGATGCACTAATTGGAAGGCTTAGAGCTGCTTATGAGGAAAATGGTGGATTGCAAGAGACAAATCCATTTGCAAATAGTGCTATACGAATTTATCTTCGTGAGGTAAGAGATTCTCAAGCTAAAGCAAGGGGAATACCCTATAAGAAGAAGAAAAAGAAGAGGAAAATCCAAATAAATTCTAGTAACAACAACGAGGCACCAACTGCAACCTTTCAGTTGGATTAATTCTTCTTGATCGCTCTGGCCTAATTCTCAAGAGGAAAATAAAAAATGGTAAAGTTTCTTTCTTCGACAATAAGAGGGTTGCTTTGATTTGCTTTTGCAGATATATATGGTCACAGTTTCAATATGAAGATTAGTTGACTTCATATAGTATGAAGTAAGGATGTAAAATATACGTTCTACTTAAAACATTCTGATTAAATTGTTTCTCTACGCTTTCTTGGATATATCATTGAATTAGCTTCGGGATGTGAGTGGGAGCCCTAAATTAGAGTTTTAAAAACCCTATAAATTTGTACAGCCTTCTATTGGTTGTTCTGGGTTAAATTAAACTTTGATTTTCTATACTTGAATTTAGGAACAATAGCAACTACAGTTAATGAGAACACAGACACCTTTCTGTATCTAGATCTCTTTTTTTCTTTCTCTCTCTGTATAGAAATTTAATACTCACGTCCACACTCCACATATAGTGTAATATAAATTTTTCATTCTTTTTAAGGGGGGTCTTGCATCTTATTTTTTTATGTTTAATTTCAACATCGTGTTTGCTTTTTTTCAATATTGTGATTTTAGGGATTCTGCACGATCTTATGATTGAAGCTGGGGTTGCCTATTTGTTATCGGTGTATAATTAAGTCAGGAAAACTAGTAGACTTCTGTGTATAACATATATATTGGAGTATGGAATATATATGTACGTATAAGAGGGTTGTCTTTCGATATATATATATATATATATATATATATATATATATATATATATATATATATATATNACATAGGAATAGGTGGAACCCGGATCAAATAATACAGAGGCATCTCTGTGTCAGACTGAAATAATACCTGAAATGACAGCATCGGAGGCAATGGCATCAGATCTGCCTGGCATAGCATAAAAACGGGCCTGACCGCCCCCTGGTCGACCTCCCCCTCTGTGGCGACCCCTGACTGACTGATCCCTACCCCTAGCTGGCTGGGCGGGTGGTGGTGGAGCAACTGGAGCTGAAGCTGATGACTGGCCCCTCTACTGGGATGAACTAGCAACACGGCGGGGACACTGCCTCCTCATATGTCCAAACTCCCCGCACTCATAGCAACTCCCCGGTGCTGGAGATGGGGACTGAAGGGAACCCCTCGCACCAGAGTGACTAGCAGATGAACTCGGCATAGAAGAGCCCTAAACAGATGGAGCATGGGATGAGCTCTGAGCTGGAAGGGCACTAAGTGATGAATGGCCCTGGTGCGAACTGTAGGAACCATGACCTGATGAAGCTCCACGATAACCTGAGCGATCAGACTGTCCATGTCGGAACTGTCGGCCTCTGCCGTGCTGAAACTGGCCCCTCGAAGGAGCACCACTGTAGCTGCCAGATCCTCGAGGCCTCTTGGCCTCCCTCTCCTCTCGCTCCTGGCAACGGACAGACTCAATCTCCCTGGCAATATCCACAACCTCCTCGAATGTAGCACCAGTCACCCTCTCCCTAGTCATGAGAATACGGAGATGATATGTGAGGCCATCAACGAACCTCCTGATCCTCTCTCGATCTGTGGGAACCAACCAAACTGCATGTCGGGCTAACTCAGAGAATCGCATCTCATACTGCATCACCGTCATCTCCCCCTGACGCAGCTGCTCAAACTGCCTACGCAGCTCCTCTCGTCGTGACTGTGGTACATACTTCTCTAGAAAGAGAACAGAGAACTGCTGCCATGTAAGGGGCGCTGCTCCAGCAGGCCTACACCTCTCATACGCCTCCCACCAAGTGAAGGCAGCCCTGGAAAACTGAAAGGTAGTAAATGCCACGCCACTGGTCTCAAGTCGACGCTGCTTATCATCCGGCATCACTGGTACTACAAACTCTTTGAGCTTGTGCAACCGGCTGGGCTGGAGGTGCCCCCGGTGTCTGGAGTCCATGCACAACCTGATCAGGTGTGCGAGCAACGGGGGTCGGAATACCTCCCCGGTCTGTGAAGTAGCTGCGACCGTAGTAGCTGAGAGCGCCAGAGCCAAACTGGTACACACTGATAATATCTGAGCTAGAGCATCCTGAAGGCCTGGGATCACAATAGGCGTAGCTGGTGCCTGAACTGGTGCTGCTGCAGCGTCCACAACGGGGACCTGGTCCTGAACTGGGGCAGCTGGTGGATCTGCAGGTGCTGCCCCCATTGCTCTGCCCCTACCGCGACCACGACCGCGTCCTCGGTCTCTGGTGGCCGGGCTGGTGGCACTGGTGGTCGTCCACCCTGTCCGGTAGCGCGTGTCCTCACCATCTGTGAGAGAATAGAACGATAGAAGTTTAGTACTCGGATCAACAAACTCGCACGATAAGATTTCAAGAATGTGATGTTTCCTAAAGGTTCTGCAGCCTCTCGAGGATAAATACAGACGTCTCCGTATCGATCCGTGAGACTCTACTAAATCGGCTCATGACTCGCGAGACCTATGTAACCTAGGCTCTGATACCAACTGGTCACGACCCCCAAATACCGGTCGTGATGGCGCCTATCACATTACTAGGCAAGCCAGACCAACTATCAAGCCATAACCCACGGTTTAATTACCAATTATCATAATAAGGGTTTAAAACAACAAGAAAGATATGCGGAAATCAACAAGACATAGAAACTACACAGCCCACACTGATCTAGTGTCACGAGTCTAGAGCCTCTAATACAAGTCTGAACAGTCTACTACATGAATAGTCTAGAAATGCTGAAAATAATAAGATAGAAGGGAGAAATCAAGGCTACCTCAAATCCCCGCTGAATGCTGGAAAACAGCTGAAAGCTCTCACTCGGCCTCTCGGGCACCTGGATCTGCACACAAGGTGCAGGGAGTAACGTGAGTACGCCAACTCAGTAAGTAACTAAAGTAAATAATGGACCGAAAGCAGTGACGAGCAGTTCAAAACATATATTCTAAAATCAGTTTCGTCATGAATCCATCATTTTCGGTTTAAAACTTTGAAATCAATTAACTGACAATATGTCCAACAGAGGCTTATTTATAAAAAAAGAGTGAAAACAGAAGAAATATCATAACAGGGCCCCTTGGGCAAGAAGTCACTCGAAATATAGCCCCTCGGG